GGTTTTGGATTATATGGAAGGCCATTTCAGCCTTTTCATCATATTTTTTTATTTGAGGGACTTTTGAAACTATTACTTGATCGTTGTTTTGTGGAGAGAGTCAGTTTATGGGTAGAAAACAAAACCTACGTTGTTTTCTCTCTTGGTTACCCATAACCATATATCAGATATATATTATATTTATCTCATTTATCCATTGGTGAAATGAGATAATATCTGATATCTATATCATCTATCCATATCATGATATGATAGATATATATCCTGAGTGGCTCATCCAAATAGGTTTGAATTTAAATTCAAAACCCATTTGGATGAGGTTCAAAAGGTTCTAAGGGTCATGCCACATGGGCGCCCAATTTCTAACAGTTCTGGAGTGATTTTTGTTCTATTTGGTTTTTTTTAGTTCTTCTCAATTGTTCTGGAGTGATTTTTGTTCTATTTGGTTATTTTCAGTTCTTAGATTTTTAGTAAGAATTTGTAATATATATATATATATATAAAATAAACTACCCCATTGTAGTCTATTGTTTTTGGAGGTAGTATTTTGTAAAGGAGAGGTTAGGAATTCAACTTCTAGAAGGGTTAATCTAACAATAAATAACTAATTTTGGCCAAGAAAAAAAGCATTGTCGAAAAGTTCTAAGAAATAAACTAAAACAAACAGGAAGGGTAATTTAAGATAAATAAAACTAAATAACATCTAAACTGTGAAAAGCCACACAATCCTAGGATCACCAATCACTACAAGTTTTAGGAATCAAGCTTTTTTTTGTTTATAGAAGTAAAAATTTTGTTTAAAAAAATATTAAAAGATCAATTTCAATGGTTATGTGAGTCGTCATAAGAAGGTCATCTTGAAAAGTTAGAAAATGATTTTTAACAATAAGATTTTTAAAATATCACTAATAAATGTATCATTTAGGAAAAAACAATTCATGCCAAAAAGTTTACTTTATTAGATGAAAAATTTTGTTCTAAAAATTCATGCCAAGAGGTTTACTTTTTGAAATAAAAATTTTGGTAAAGAATAATAATTTATTACTAAATCTTTAATTTGTAATAAAAAAATTTGTCACAACGGCATTTTTAACAATTAAGATATTTCAACTCTAAAAAATATTTGTCTACAATTTTGTCTATAAAATTTGAAATTTTTGTAGTATCACTTCTTTTTTATCTCCTTTCAACTTGATCAATTTGATCTCTACACTCTACGTCTGATTGCAATTTAGTTCTTTCATTTAAATTAGACGTTAAATTTAACGAGTGTCAGTCTTTCGAAGTGTACATGTGAAAATAATTCAAACTAATTTGGAGGAAGGACCAAGTTGATATTGAACTTAAAATGTACAAATCAAATTATTCAAATGAAAATAATAGGAACCAAAATAAAATTTGAATCAAACTACAAGAATGAAAATTGTAATTTATCCCTTTTTTTTTCGGCATACCTGTTGGAACCATCTTACTTTCAAAAATTGTTACATAGTAGTAGTATTTTGTGCTTTGTTTTGTTATTATATCATCTCTATTTTTGAGACTGCGTGATACATAATATTTATTACTGAGCAAACACACAATCAGCATAGTATTTTAAAAAGATTGAATAATTACTAATCTAACCTGGTACATAGTTCCAAACCTTGACAGAGCCTATAGTAGCCCAGTCACCTTCAAGAACTTGAACACTTTTTATTTTTTCAGGGCAGATCTTTGGGAAGAGGTAGGATTTACAGGTAAAGACCTCAAAAAACTTATCAGCTTTGCACTTGACCTCTGTTTGTCCCTCCAACTTAAAAATTTCAGCCATATTTCAATGCTATATCCGCTGCTAAAAAAATTTACTCAGAAAGGGGTAAGGGTTAGATGTGAAAACTAATACTCTAGCCTAAACTTTATATAGAAGAGTAGTGAAAAAAAAAGCTTTATGGGGATCAAATGGTGTTGATAAGAACAAAATATACTTGTTTCGGGGCCCATCACTACTCGCCCACGATCCTTTTTTTAGATAAACTTGGTCCCTATACAAACATAAAAAAATACCATATTTGTTGATGAAGAAATCTAACAAAGAAAATGACCAGATCCACCACACGATCATTATCTACAAGATAAAGCTCCCTCAGCCATTAAACGGTCGGGGGTCCTCCGACGCCCAAGGCAGTCCTCCAATATTATCAAAATATTTAATGGACAAATACATAAAGAGAAATCGCGTACCTCAACCCATGGGGGTATCGCCTATTTATAATATCCAGTGATTTGTCTAGCAAGTAATTTGAATATTCCAGAAATCATATCCTAAACAATCTCCAGTTGTTTAGGACTCTTATATCAATAATATTTCATATCCTAATGAGTTTTGCATAATATAAAACACTAATTCAGTATTTGATGAGGATTTGACAACTATCATAAACGTGATAATCCATAATTGTGTCACGTGGCAGTGTCAGGACCCACATAATTCCTGTGGTTGTTTTTATCCTCTCTCAATTGCCCCCAAACTTTCATTCTCTTTGAGCCCAGTAAAAGAGTAGAACCTTTCTGTTATTACTCCGATAAAAATAGCCGTATAATGCCGCCTAGCTAGAACGATATATGGGTACTAGAGCTTATTCTAATAATGCCTAATCTTGCTTAAACTTATTCCAAAAATGTCTAACCCTGCTACGACTTATTCCAAAAATGTCTAACTTCGTTAGGACTTATTCTAAAAATGTCTAGCCTTGTTAGAACTTATTCAAAAAATGCCTAGCCTTACTAAGAACTACCCAAAAACAAATCTCAAAGCTGGACAAACCACTAACTTGCACTATAAAAAAAAAAACACTTTTAGCGACCTTTTTTTTAGTCACCAAAAGTGTAATTTTGGTTGCTAAAAGTATCCGCGATATCAATAAAATTGGTCGCTGAAGCCTTGTCACTAAATGGTTCGGCGACCAAATAAATTATGGTCGCCTTATAAATAAAACGGCAACCAAATATTTCAGTCGCCAAAAGACTAAAATTTTGTCGCCATAAATTAACATTTAGTCACTAAAAGTAACCTCAAGCAGATGACATGTTATGTTTTAGCGACATATAAATGCGTCGCTAAAAACATCTTTCAGCGAATAAATGAATTGCTTGTTGAATATTAAAACTTTTGGCGACCAATCAAGTTTTGGGTCGCTAAAAAAACTTATTCACGCAAACTTTCAACAACATAAACAAATTGTCACCAAAAGTAAATTTACAACTAAAAAGCCTGTCACCAAAAAGTTCATTAATTATATTTTTTTTTTTTCAATTTTCCTATTCAGTGCATAATTCATAAACCTATAAACATAAGAAAAATATAATTCAAATTAACACACTTGTTCAAATTATCAAATCCAAAACATCCAACATAAGCAAATCCCATACAATCCGAAACTTCAAACATGTACATAATGATTCCAAAAAAACTTCCAAGGTACAAAATCCTATGACAAAATATATCCAAAAATTTAAAATGTAATCCTCTTATGCTCACCGAACTACGCTCCATCCATTGTCAATCTGTCAAACATATGAAAAAAAATTACAATATTAAAATTTTAGTAATAAAATGTTTGGTCTAAAATTTTGATATACCAAGCACAACAGCCAACCCTAATTATATTTCCCAAATAATAAGAATAGTAGCAAGAAATGTTTTTATAAAATATCATTCACCAAACATATGACCACCCATATGATAATTTTCTAAATTACAGAAGTTGAGATGAAGTTAATTCTGAAAAGGATCAAGTATGGTGGAAGTTAGCCCCTGTGTCTCCCTAATTGGAAAAAGAATTAATTTCATTAACACAAAATTAATCTCTCTAATTAAACAAATATTAACAGTCACTTCAACAACATCCGTAAAGGGAATTAAGCAAGAATCACCAAAAAAATAATGGATAAAATAGAGCAGAACATCAAAGTCACCATATTAAGCACTTTAAGGAGACACTAGTTTCAGACACATGAGACACATAAATCCACTAAGAAAGCAATACAAGTAAACAGCAGTAGCAACACAGCAGCATCAAATAGAGTAAAGACTACAGCAGCAGCACAGTAGCATCAAATAGACTAATTGGGCCGTTGTTTGTTTCTACAAGTTTATTTAGACTTGAGTGACGTGATCATGTTGATGTTTGATTGATTTCGTGGTTGTTTTACAAGTTTGCCTCCTAAACGAACCATTTCAGCCTTAAGTTCTGCAAATTTCCTAACAAAAAGTTGTAACGAGGTGTTGTCTATTTCTACAAGTTCATTTAGACTTGAGTGACATGCTCTCATGTTGACAATTCATTGTTGCTTGATTGTGTGAATTCGTGTGTGTGTGTGTGTGTGTGTGTGTGTGTGTGTGTGTGTGAGAGAGAGAGAGAGAGAGAGAGAGAGATAAAAAAATAAAACTAAAGAGAGAAACTGGGAGAGTTTATTTTGCAAAATATTAGAGTGTGAAATTTTTTTAGTCACCAAAAGTGTAATTTTGGTTGCTAAAAGTGTCCGCGACATCAATAAAATTGGTCGCTAAAGCCTTGTCACTAAATGGTTCGGCGACCAAATAAATTATGGTCACCTAATAAATAAAACGACGACCAAATATTTCAGTCGCTAAAAGACTAAAATTTTGTCGCCATAAATTAACATTTAGTCACTAAAAGTAACCTCAAGCAGATGACATGTTATGCTTTAGCGACATATAAATGCATCGCTAAAAATATCTTTCAGCGAATAAATGAATTGCTTGTTGAATATTAAAACTTTTGGCGATCAATCAAGTTTTGGGTCGCTAAAAAAATTATTCACACAAACTTTCAACAACATAAACAAATTGTCACCAAAAGTAAATTTACAACTAAAAAACCTGTCACCAAAAAGTTCATTAATTATATTTTTTTTTTTTTCAATTTTCCTATTCAGTGTATATTTCATAAACCTATAAACATAAAAAAAATATATATAATTCAAATTAACACACTTGTTCAAATTATCAAATCCAAAACATCCAACATAAGCAAATCCATTACAATCCGAAACTTCAAACATGTACATAATGATTACAAAAAAATTTCCAAGGTACAAAATCCTATGACAAAATATATCCAAAAATTTAAAATGTAATCCTCTTATGCTCCCCGAACTGTGCTCCATCCATTGTCAATCTGTCAAACATATGAAAAAAATTACAATATTAAAATTTTAGTAATAAAATGTTTGGTCTAAAATTTTGATATACCAAGCACAACAGCCAACCCTAATTATATTTCCCAAATAATAAGAACAGTAGCAACAAATGTTTTTGTAAAATATCATTCACCAAACATATGACCACCCATATGATAATTTTCTAAATTACAGAAGTTGAGATCAAGTTAATTCGAAAAAGGATCAAGTATGGTGGAAGTTAGCCCCTGTGTCTCCCTAATTGGAAAAAGAATTAATTTCATTAACACAAAATTAATCTCTCTAATTAAACAAATATTAACAGTCACTCCAACAGCATCCGTAAAGGGAATTAAGCAAGAATCACCAAAAAAATAATGGATAAAATAGAGCAACACATCAAAGTCACCATATATAGCACTTTGAGGAGACACTAGTTTCAGACACATGAGACACATAAATCCACTAAGAAAGCAACACAAGTAAACAGCAGTAGCAACACAGCAGCATCAAATAGAGTAAAGACTACAGCAGCAGCACAACAGCATCAAATAGACTAATCGGGTCGTTGTTTGTTTCTACAAGTTTATTTGGACTTGAGTGACATGCTCATGTTGATGTTTGATTAATTTTGTGGTTGTTTTACAAGTTTGCCTCCTAAACGAACCATTTCAGCCTTAAGTTCTGCAAATTTCCTAACAAAAAGTTGTAACGAGGTGTTGTCTATTTCTACAAGTTCATTTAGACTTGAGTGACATGCTCTCATGTTGACAATTCATTGTTGCTTGATTGTGTGAATTCGTGTGTGTGTGTGTGTGTGTGTGTGTGTGTGAGAGAGAGAGAGAGAGAGAGAGAGAGAGAGAGATAAGTAAATGAAGCATTACTTCCATATTGACTTTAGATAGATTGGTAAAATTAAAAAGAAGGAAATATATCATCCTATGACATTTGGCTATCTCAATTTCACACATGATTTGACTAGTAAATTCGTTATTGAGGGTTGAAACATGAATCTAACAAAGGTAGAGCCTTTGAAGCATAAATGTGTCTCTATGTCACTCTGCTTAGGCCGTTCCAGTTGTTGATCCTCTAGTTAAAGCATCAAAACCTCTAAATCCGTATTCATATTCTTTTATCTACCTAATAATTGCAGTTCTAAAATAGATATTTGAGCATCACCAGTCCCAACAGCGTATCCACCACGAGAATATCAAGCTTCCCCAATCAAGTCCCCTCCCCTTGACACATGTCCAAGAACTTTCACACTTGCAAGAACAAAATCAACATAAGTTTTGAATAAAGAATAAAAATTAATAGTAAAATACATTTAACAGGTTAACTTTTAAAAAATAATCACTAAATCCTTCAAACGGAGTTACAATTTGAAGCCCAAATACTTCGAATCACATATGTATAATAACATAAGAAAGGAGAAGTAACATGTGAGGGAAGACAAGAAACCCCATTGATAAACACACCTGATTCCATAGTTTTCAAGAAGCAGTAGAAAATATCATAACATAATTCAAAAGGTACCAACTATATCTAATCCAACACCAATCTGACACAAGCAAAGAATATTCACATTAAAATGTGAGCAAGAAAGGGATATTAAATTAACTAGTAAAATATGAGCAGTAAATTAAAAGCAAATCTATATCTCTTAGAACTACCCTTAGCAATTCACTATCATGCATTATAGTACTTCACATCAATGACACCATAGATTTTGAAACAAGTCAAGAAGGATTCAAATGATTAAAAAAACTATATTTATTACCTTTAGGCCTGCCATTGAGTTTCGTCATGGTTGGAATAGATGACCCATTCACATTAGCATCAAGCAGCCCAACATTAAATTGACACATATTGAAAAGTTCCATGGATAAATTAACAGCAAAAAACAAAAACAGAATCCTACTAAAAACATCCATGTCCAAATATTATTTGGTGGTTTAAATCTTGTTATTTTTTTGATAACCAATCACATCTAACCATTTATAATTTTAGTAAGATTGTTAGTATGTATAGAATTATTCATTAAAAACCAACAAGCTAAATTAGAAATCACAATCAATTAATACCCATAAATTAAGCTCCTAAATACATAAAACATGGTATGAAATTTATATTAACAATTCCACCTTCAAATGTACAGAATCACATTCCTACAATGACCAAATTATATGAATCAACTTCAACTATTCAAAGAAAAATAAATAAATTCAACTTTAGTCTTTTGGTGCACATGTGTAGAGATAGTCCCAAGAAATCATAGCAGGCCACCTTCTATTTGTATATTTATTATATATATATATATATATATATTCCACTATGTAAGCCCCCTTCTCATGTGTAGACAATAAACAAATCAAGCAAACCTGGTAGTGTTTTCTCTACATTTCTTGGAGTGAATTTCCTATGCTTTGAAAACCAAAATCAACGAAACAAAAAATAAAATTAAAAATTTGCTAAAACAGGTGTTTTCAAAAATGTAATGAAACAATTCAGTACATCATAAATTGCAGGGCATAAATGTTTTCACATTATATAAACCCTAATTTTTCTTCATTGGCTTTCACTATAATTCTTTGAGCTCTAAACAAATCAAGCAAAATTTGGCACTATTTTCTCTAAATTTCTTGGATTGCAACCTATCTTTTTGTTTCAAAACCAAAACTCATAGAAGATAAAGTAATTACAGGATTGAGTTTGGTGGAGGAATATTTATTACCTAGGTGAGTAATATTTATCCACATTCTCAAATTATAAAAAAAACAAATCATAGTAACAAAAACAAAAACAAATCAATGTTAAACTCGAAAACAGAGCATAACCCATATATCATTTGAAACAAAAAGTACCATCCAATGATATTCACATCAATATACAGATCAATCGAATGAAAGATCCAAGCTTGCAATAACAAATTAAATTGAAAATTTTAAAAAGAAATAAATCAAAATTACCTTAAGAATGAGAGGCCGAGGAGAAGGCTTTTGGGTATCTTTCAGTGAGAGAGAAGAGGAAAAGATTCAACACAATCTGAATCTTCAGGGGCTTGATGGGTCTATTTAGAGTAGAAAATTATGGGTTTTTCTTAATTTAATTTTTTTATATATTATAAAAATCAATTGGTTTATTATAGAGATCTAAGAGATATAATTTATATCTTGTTTTTATTTCTAAATATACAAAATGGTTTTTTCGCAGGAAGCAGTGAACAAATATGGCCACATACGAGTACTTACCCACAACGAACACCAACCGATAAAACTTGTCTTCTCCAAAACAAATATGAAGAACAATAACAGAGAGAGGGGAGATAGCAGCAACCATAGAGAGGGTCACGATCGGTGCTGCTCGCGATCGGCTATGCAAGAGACGGAGGGGCAGCACCGTTCGAGTGAGTGTAGTCAGCGGCACCCTCTCTGTGGTCGGCAACGAAATAGAGCGAGAGGGAGAAAGGGAGAGAGAGAGAGAGAGAAGAAGAAGAAGAAAAGAAAACATACCTTTTGTTGTTTGAGGGCTTGAGAGAGAAAGAGAGAGAGAGAGAGAGAGAGAGAGAGAGAGAGAGAGAGAATGAAATGGAGCTTCAGGGGTCAATTACTTCTTTATTCACAGAGACAACTACTTCTAACAATTAAAAATTAGGGCAAATACCAAACGGTGTAGTTTTGACAGATTAATTATTGGCGACTAAATTAATTAGGTCACCATAAATGTCGTTTACATTTTCCGTGACGAAGCAATGGGTGTCGCCAAAAACAATACAGTTGGCAACTAAATGTTTTGTTGCCATATATTAGTTTGGTCACAGAAACTTTTCCCTTGCTCCCGCGCATAAATTTCACTTCCCGCCAAACTCAACAACGACCAAATATTTAGTTCATCCCCAATAGTTTAGTTTTTTGCGACCAAAACATATATGGTCACCAATTATGTACATTTGGTAACTAATTTTTATTTTAGTTGCCAAAAAGCGTCTCCAAAATTGTTTTTTGTTGTAGTGTTGCTTCTTGCCAAGCAAAATCCCCTCAGTAAGGAATAATAGAGTTGGACCAACTACCAACTATGTTCTTTGCGAGCAAAATCCACTCAGCAAAGAATCCCAAAGTTGGACAAACTACCAACTTCCTTCTTGGCAAGAAAAAATTCACCAAGCAAGGAATCTCATAGTTGGACAAACCACTAACTTGCTTCTTAGCAAACAAAATCCACTCAACAAGGAATCACAAAGTTAGACAATCACCAGTTACCTTTTTGGCGAGCAAAATTGGCTCAGCAAGGAATTCCTAAGTTGATCAAAACCACCACTTAACTATTACCGAGCAAAATCAACTCGGCAAAGAATTCCTAAGTTGATCAAAACCATATATTAATTTACCTCTTGCTGAGAAAAATCTGCTCGGCAAGGAATTCCTAAGTTGATCAAAACCATCAACTTACCTCTTGCCGAGCAAAATTTGCTCAACAAGGAATTCCTAAGTTGGTCAAAACCACCAACTTACATCTTGTCAAGCAAAATCAACTTGGTAAGGAATTCCTAAGTTGATCAATACCATTATCTTACATCTTATTGATCAAAATCAACTTAGCAAGAAATTTCTAAGTTGATCAAAACCATCAACTTACCTCTTGCCGAACAAAATCTACTTGGCAAGAAATTCCTAAGTTGATCAATATCGTCAACTTACCTCCAACTAAGCAAGATCTGCTCTGCAATGAATTCCTAAGTTGATCAAAATCGTCAACTTACCTCTTACCGAGCAAAATTCGCTTGACAAAGAATCCTGAAATTGAACAAAACCTTCAACTTCTTTCTTGTCGAGCAAAATCAGCTCGACAAGGAATTCCTAAGTTGACCAAAACCATCAGCTTATCTCTTGTCAATCAAAATCTGCTTGGGAAGGAATTCCAAATTTGATCAAAACCATCAACTTACCTCTTGTCAAACAAAATCCGCTCAGTAAGGAATCCAAAATTTGAGAAAAACCCTAAACTTCCTTCTTGGTGAGCAAAATCAGCTCGGCAAAGAATCTCAAAGTTGAACAAATCCCTCAACTTAGTCCTCGGAGCAAAATCAGCTCGACAAGGAGATAAAATTTTCAACCAATGGGTAGCGCAATTCATCTTGCCTCCATGATCCGTAAAGCGTGGACTTCATCTCAATATACTATTCAGACATATTCTAGTTCATCTCATCTACTCCTTTGCCTCCAAATTTTTGGTGTAACCATGTCACGACAAAGATTTTCAAACCATATAACCAAGTTCGGATGCATACGGATGTAACTTCGTTCAACGATTAAACTGAGCTATAGAATGGTCCACCGAGCTACATGAGTTGACCGAGCTATCTCATAAGAAAACGTTGCCAAGCTTGTAGACTGGACTGGCTCTTAGTTGCTTTGGGAGGCAGTGCATGTAACTTTGTTGCAGAGTTGCCAACAACCCAACTGGGCTAAAGTTTTATTATTGGAATTTCAGTTTGGCTGGATTTAACCACAACATACCATAGTAAGGAGGAGGTGTTGATAATGGTGCACCAACACCTCTAAAAACATGATAATCACAACTTGGTTATCCGGAATGCAAAGATTATATGCCCGGTAGTTGAAATTATTTTATAGCAGTTTTTCATTGCCCTCAAGTTCACAACAATTTGATGCATGGTCCCTTAGCGTGGCAGTGACAAACTCCTTGCCCATCAACTATCCTTTGCATGCTTTGTGAATAAACTATTTGTTCACCCTCACAATCATTCTTGCTTAGGGCTTTTTTTTGTTCTTGCTTGGATTGCGACTAAAGACCAAATGACTAATCTACAGAATTGTCGAGATTTCTCTTTGCCCTGTCTTCTTCTAGTCGTTTGGTGTGACTCTATTGCTCATCAGTGACATTGAGGCTACCCAGTATCATCGTTGTGCAGTCAAGTTTTGCATGGTCGGTTGTTCAGTCCTTTAGCCCAGTTCCGAAAATATGTCAAGGTTGAAACCATAGTTCTATGGGTTGAGGGACGCTGTTCTATTTTGCCAAGCAATTCTATTTTGTCGAGCAATAGAGATACCGTTCAACATGAATAGCCAAGCTACATGTGAATAAGATCGTACTAAGTGTTGTGTTGCCTCAAACTACCATTGACTGTTACTGTAAAATTATAGAAACTCGAACAGTGCTATTAGAATATCTGTGAGAGAGAAAGAGAGGGAGAGAGTATTATATTATGTATGTATTCAATATTGTGTAGAATAATAATATAACAATATATACAAGACTCCTTTATATAGGAGGAAAGAAACCTAAGTATGATAATGAATATAATATGGTATGTATGATGGACATAATATGTAATTATTATATTTAACACTCTCCATCAAACTCAAATAGGTTTGGAGAGAGAACCTAAAATATGAAATAAAACTAAAAAAATAAAATAAAAAGCAAATAGATTGCAAATTCTGAATGGGAGCGCAAGAGCGCTGGAGATAGATCAAAGGTCAAAGCTAATTCCGAGAGACAATTTATGGTCTTGTAGGATAATTATAGAATAAGAACGGGTGTTGAACCAATAAAACGTGGCACACGCGTAACATATAACGTAGTGCTAAATGGTGATGGCAATAGATGAACCATGTGTGCCAGAAGGCGGCTTGGAAAGGAACCATGTTCGCCAAGAGGTGGCTTGAAAAGGAACAAAATGTACCAAGGGGGCAGCTTAGAGAGTGCACCAAGGAAGACAGCTTAGGGAATGCGCCAAGGGGGTGGCTTGGGGAGTGCGCCAAAGAGGCAGCTTAGGGAGTGCACCAAGGGGACGGCTTGGGTGGCTTGCATAGTGTATAACTATTCTCACCATGATATAAGTATAATACCCCCCTCAAACTCAAATAAGTTTGAAGACAGAAACTTATTTGAGGTTGAAGTAGTGGAAAAGACAAAGTGGGGCAATAGCACAAAAAATAAAAAATAATAATAATAATAAAGGATTGCGAGTAAAGTATATATATATATAATAGCGATATTTGGGATAGGAATAAACTAGCGGATAAAGGAAGAGATCACTACGAAACAATACTGAAAGGAAAATATGGCAACGGAATAGGCTGAGGTCCGGCAGACGGCCAACGTAAGTTTGCCGCTTGTCGAGAAAAGTGAAGAACACCAAGAACTTCATCTATAGCTCTGATATCATGTTATAATATTTAATAGCGAGAGAACATTATATTATATATATATTTAATATTGTGT